AAGGAATTGGATATATGCGAGGAGTACAGAATCATCCGACGGTAATCTTAAGTTTGATAAGCCAGAGACCCAAGAGGCAGTATCAAGGATATTGAAATATGCTGAAGGCAAGGAGAAGGGCTCATTCAATCCTTCCATAGAGAGGGACGAGCTTAGTCTTGGCTTGGGAAATAAGGAGCACACAGGCCGCACTAGGGGGCTAGGGAAAAGGATGACCTGGAAGCACAGATTCGAAGAGGACAGGCATATATATAAGAAACATGGCAGAGACCGAGAGACTAATCTTGAGCTCCAAGTAAAGGCTCTAGTTGCGAAGGCTTTGGAGGAGCAAGGACTGTCTATGGAGCCACGGACATTAATGACGCCGCTGGGACAACTGACATTAGTTGGCAGCCCTCCAAAAGTTCCTAGCAGCCAAGGTTCCACTGCAGCCACAACCCCCGTCAATCACATACGGGAACCAACTAGTTGCACCTTGGTGTTTCTCAGCGGCCGGCAGAACATTGTGATGGAGGTGGCAATGGGTGTGGCACATCCTCCCGGTGGCTTACACCACAATAATAAGATACCGCTGGACTACACTAGGGTCGAGGTGCATACCGTGAAGCCTGAGTTCATGTAGTGGAGGATAGACTACACAACTCCCGAGGGGCTGGTGTTACTCGAAGACGTAATGGGGCAGTTCATCCTCTGGCACAAATGGGACATTATATTGACTGCTTCTTCGCCGCCTCCCCCTCTCCCAAATTTGGAGCGAGTTGTTGAGGTCGGGGAGATATTTTCACCGTCTCGTGACCACCACATTCCTGAGATACCACATTCTTCCCCGCCTCCTAGCGAGCATGTGCCTGATAAGCCACAACCTTCTCCAGCTCGTACCGAGCAAGTGCATGATGAGATGCCACAGTCTTCTCAACAAGCACAACCGATACATGAACAACGAGTGCCTCCTGAAGAAGGTGATGCACAAGAAGATGAGGACGTGCCTGAATGGGGAAAGAAGCATCCAATCACCATAAGACCAGTTTATGTTCCGATGAAAGACGTCTCGTCGGTGCACAAGTGGTATTCCCATGACCAGTTCAAGCCTGAGAACCAAGTTAAAAAGTCACATCACAGGGTTCTAAGGAGGTCGTCACTAGCAAACTCCATCAAACAGCAAAGCAGCATCCAAATGTTGATGCCATCAAATGGTCAAAGGATTGCCGAAAATATATGAAAGAGGCAAGCCCTTCCTACCAAACTAGGACATCCAGCGCCTACCACTTGGAATGAGAAGGTTCCATGATTGGTACTTGCATGTTCTCCCAATGAGCATAGACCTCGTACAAGCATGCTTCCCCACCGGCACATTTGGAAGCCCAGCCGGGAAAATTGTCTTTGACTTCAATGACATGCAGACATGCTTTCACCTCGGAGAAATGGAGATGAATCTAATTCGTACGTGATGCTGTAAGTCCTTGTCCTCCCGATATGATATGAATGTAATCTTTAAATTTTGTTGTAACTAACCCACGCCGTGATTTATAGAATGCAAGTGCACATTGTCAAACAAATGTCAAGTGTGAAAGCCGGGTATATAGACACTCAAGCTATAGCACAAATAAATTTTAATTACCCTAAACAGTGGAAACTGGATGCCAAAGAGCTAGCTGCTGGAAAGACCCTTCAGGAGAAAGAGCATATCCGTACGGCGAAACTAAGGGAAGAGTCCCTTAAGGTTGCGGCATACATTGCCCTAGCTTTCAAAATTCTCCAACAGCACTCTACTATATGGCTACCATACAACTTCGAGTAAGTTCAACTCTATACTTAAAGCTTTGTTCGATATATTTTATTCGATGTAAAAGAGCTTATCTAGTTCTATGATTAAATCAATGCAGCAACCACTGGATTTGTATAGGCGTCGATATCGGGAGGAGCATGGTATGGGTCTTTGATTCAATAGATAGAGACCCGGTGACATACAAAGACTTCATATCGATTCTTAAGACGTATACATATCGACAATCCTCATTAGCTTATATGTTTGTATACATACTTGTAACGTTCACTTTTGGATACTAAGAAGCTGTATTTGCTAAAATAATTCGAACATGGCTTTTAGGTTCTATGTCACTAAACATCACGGAAGGCATGATCCAGTAAGGAAGGAAAAACTGGCTATAAAAATACTATGTGCGGTAAGTGTAACTTACTTTAGTACTCCATTACATGGCTGCCAAAAGCATTACTTAACATTTTCATATGCAAAACACACAGTGGCCCAAGCAAGAGCCTAGGAGTGTACATTGTGGATACTATGTATGTTATATGATGAGTAACACCGGTGTCTACAGGAGACACCCCTTAAGGGTAAGTTTGAACCTCTTCACCCATAATATAAAAACTTTGTACATGGTATGAAATACTAAACCGAAACTTGTTCTCTTGTAATGGAAAGAAGAAAAAGAAATGAAAAGAGACCCATACAAGGATGACCAACTCTTAGAGCTCGTCGGCGACCTTTGCAACTTCATATTGGACCAGATTGTACACGTAAAAGGCACCTACCATGACCGAGAGTCTGACTTAGGTAGAAATCCTCAGTACCAACACCTTCGTGAGACCGAAAGGCTAGCTCTAGGACGTTGATAACAATGCGTATGGAATTTGACATTCATTTTACCTTGTGAATTATGTCTATTTAATGATGGATTGTATATATTCTTGTGAATTAGACTTGTAATTGTAGTTTATATAATACTTTTGTGCTTGTAGTTTATATAATACTCTTGAGCGAACGCGGTTCAGAACGTTGATCGCGGGGCGTTCGGCGGGATTATCTCGCTTTCCTCGCTCACGTTAGTCGCAGGCGTTGGTGAACGTTGGTGAGGCGTTCGCAACCTTACGAGTATTTGGATGGAATCTGTGAAACAAGCGAGTGTTACGGTCGAATTTGAATTGTAAATTTAAATTTTTTTTGTGGAAAAATATACTGTAGGGGCGGTTCTAGGCTAAACCGCCCCTACAAACAGGTATTATAGAGGCAGCTGCTACTGCAGCCGCCCCTACAAATCGATTTGTAGGGGTCCTACAAATCTATTTGTAGGGGCGGCTGATAACACCAGCCGCCCCTACAAATGCATGATTTGTAGAGACGGTTTGGTAGGGGCGGCTGGCCAAACCGCCTCTACAAATGGTCTTGAGCCACCCCTACAAAACGTTTATGTAGTAGTCATAGTGAGCAATCAACATGTATGGCAAGAGAAATACCTAATCACAAGTAGACACCAATATTTATGTCGAAATCCCTTGGGAGGAAAAACCACGGGCGGCGATGAGCAAGCAATGCACTATGAAGATGAAGATACATGGTGGTAGCCAACAAATAAAGAGAGGCTCCAAATCCCCACAAAAATTGCATTAGGGCATTCTCTATTCAGTGGATTTAGAGGGAAATATACGGTTCTCTCCCTCTTTCAAGTGCTCTGTAACCCTTGCACTCAAGGTGGAAGAACAAACCCCTCTTTTGTGGAAGGAACTCCTATTTTCGAGCAGGAGATAGACTCCTATTTTAATGGCTACACCCCCAATCTCACATCGGTTTTTGTGGACAGGTCCACAACCTCCTTAGTTGGGTGCTGCTTTTTTCCGTTTCAGTTGTTCTGTCCTAGTTCCAGTGGTTGGTGTTTCTACTTTAGGGGGGAGGGCCTTGTGTGGCCGTTCCTTTTGGGCGAACTTTGTAATATTTTGTACAACTTTTTTTCTTTCATCTTGTTTAATAAAACTTGTGGCAAAACTTTTGTCGTTCTTTCCTTAAAAAAACTCACGTGAGATATACCAAGTATGTGTCTAAATCTAAGTCATCATCACAGATATATATAGGGTGTGGAAGCACTTTCTGTGATTTATCTCGGTCTTTTTTTTTTACAGGTGTACGCACGGGAGATTTTTGCATTGCACGCCAGCTCAAGACAGAAAATGAGCCCTTTCCTTGCAGGAACACGTCAGTTCTTCACAAGATCGACCACGGACGTCTCAGAAAAGACAGGTCTGTTACGTACGTTAAAAGGGCCAACAGCGTAAAGCTACTCTGAAAACTGCAATGCGCCGGTTGCCGTAGGACAATGCAGCAGCAGCAGCAAGCAGCTTGTGTTTGTGTCCCTGAGCAAGGAGGTCCGCCGTCGCTGTCTTGTCGAGATCACGGCAGCCCCGTTTTTCCCGTACGTGATTACAACACAACAACTTCGTCTTACCACCATGATCTGCGGGCTGCAGCTGCTCGACTAAAATTAGCTGCTACTCCTGTCCATGACATGCCCATCCGCTTCCGTGGCCTCTGTCTGTCTACAGAGGGGGAGAGAGCTAACATACGGTGTTTTTCTCTCACAATAAATCAACTTTAATCGGTTTATCAACCGCAGAAACCATCAACTCGACAGTCTAGTGCTGAGAGTATTCTGCCTTTCTTCCTTTCTCAAAGTCAGTAGTTACGGTGAATATATTTAATTATAATCCACAAACAAAGCGATCGCCTGGATCTGCGTAGTAGCGCACCCCCTGTCTGTCCCTGGTGATGAATCAGCACCACCAACCGCTTGAGCTGCACCCATCACCTGATCATCTCCACGTCGCTCTGCTTGCACTCAACTGAAAGGCCTCGCACTCACGCATTCAGCCCGTTCATTTGTTGGTTTCAGCCAGGACTTATCAATCGTGATATAATATTTTTCTCTCACAACGAACCAGCATTAGCCGAACTTATCAGTCCACGAACCAACCAGCGAACGGGCTAATTAAGTTGACGCCGGACGCACCACCGGCTCCGCTTCCAGCCCAATCTTCTTTCGTTTCATTTTCCCCTCGTCTCAGCTCATCAGCCTCACTCACTCGGCTCACTGACTCACTCCCCAGTAACCTGCATCCCGCTATAAGTAGTCTGCCTGCCTGCCGACTGCCGAGCAGCAGCAGCATCCTGCGAGACCAAGAACTGAGCCGCGCGCGCACAGAGCAACCAGATGGCCCGTCCTCGCTCGTCCCTGCTTCTTAGAGTGGTCGCGGTGGCGCTAGTCCTTTCCGCTGCGCCGTCCACGCTCGCCGGCGACCCCGACTACCTCCAGGACCTCTGCGTCGCCGACCTCAACTCCGGTAAGCTCCTGACTTCAATTCGCCCATCAGTAGCTGTTCAGTGTACCGCGAGCATCTACATATCCCATCAAGATTTTTAAGGACGGATCCACTTACATTTCAAAAAAAAAAAAAGAGCTCTACCGGCCGGTTGCCTCCGGTGATTTCTTGTCATGAACACGAGATTCGTAGCTTGCTAAAATGGGCGTGCATTTCAGATGCCAAATTGAAGGCAGGATTTGCACAGTTGGCTGGGCATTGTCGCATTGAAGCCGTACCACCCAGTGCATTTCTGTTATGCGCTTTTTTGTCGTTGTGCTTTGGCGTAGGATGGAATCCACGTTTGGTGGAGGTTAGTGCACAAGAATCGATCGGCACCAATGGTCCTGGTCCACAGGGAGGGTAGAGAAATGGATTCTCAGTTCCAATATAGTTTCCTCCCAACTTTGTTTTATTAGATTCGCTACTTCTTAGATTAGGTGAGACAGCTTTTCTTTAAAAACATCTTTCGTTTGAAAAGCTGAGTAAGATGCACATGTAGTTTCCAGTTAAACTTGTTCGACAATGTCACGTAGTAGGTTTAATTAATTATTTGTACTTTTCATGTCCATGAACTTACTAGGTGGTTCACTTGCTAGGTGTTCTAATCAGTATTCAACTATTCATATGCATATTTGACACATCTTCATGACATGTCACCTACTCCCAAAATATATATATATATAGGTCATCTTATTTTTATGGTAGGAAGTCAGACATTTCTAATATTGACCAAGTTTGTGGCAAAAATGCAACAACACATATAGCATCAAATTACTTTTATTGTATCCATCATTAAATATATCTTCATGCTGTGTTTATTTGGTATTGTCGCCACCAATATATTTTTGTGTAAATTTGGTTAAAATTAGAGAAATTTGACTTAGCGCAAAACTAAAATAATGTACAAAGTTTAAAACGGAAGGAGTAGGTTCTATGACTCATCACTCATCGATGTCCAGCACTCACGTGACAGTTAATAACAAAAAACTAACAAAAATTTGGATGAGATCAAAACCAAAACGGCAGAACGAACAAGAAGGTAACGAGTGGGCATGCGGACGCCATAAATCGGTGGTGTCTGAGATAGTAGCACTTATTCGGCCATGTAACATTTAACAAGTCTGAGTATATAAAAAATGTGAATTTTATATAAGAGTGAAAAACATAAATTACGACCATAAACAAGTAGTGGTGCCAGTGTACTTTACTGCGAAAAATTCATGATTAAATTTTTACTCCCAAAATTTGATAATAGACTCTGCTAGTCTGCTACATACACATGAACGACATATTTGGTAGCTTTGATTACGAGCCGTTGCGCGAAGCGTACTGGTACTGATTAGCTGCAAAGTAAAAAGCCTGTATTTTTCACTAGATGGCACACAGAACCCTACACAAGCATACTGGTTCTAGCATACGGCCAGAACTAGCAGATCTCTTCATGTGCCGCCATCCATATCGTGATGCAGAGTTCGTGTGGGCGCATCTGCAAAAGCGTCCTCGCCGCGCACTGCAGTTTACACCGCTAAACGGCAACTGGCATAGACCCGGCACGGACCATGCATGTGCATGTGCTCATTATTACTGTATTTCTGAATTCTGCTGCTCCGAATCCGATCCCTTGCATTTCACAAATAATTCAAATCCACGGAGCCAAAATGATTGATCAAATGCACTTTGCATGGCCGACGACATTGCCACGCTTGCAGAGGTGAAGGTGAACGGGTTCCCGTGCAAGGCGTCCGCCACCGCCGACGACTTCTTCTCGAGCATCCTGGCGAAGCCGGGCGCCACCAACACCACGTCCGGCTCCGTCGTCACAGGCGCCAACGTGGAGAAGGTCCCGGGGCTGAACACGCTGGGCGTCTCGCTGTCCCGCATCGACTACGCGCCAGGCGGGCTCAACCCGCCGCACACGCACCCGCGCGCCACCGAGCTCGTCTTCGTGCTCTACGGCACACTCGACGTCGGCTTCGTCACCACCGCCAACAAGCTCGTCTCCAAGACCATCGCCCAGGGCGACGTCTTCGCTTTTCCGAGGGGCCTCGTGCACTTCCAGAAGAACACCGGCGCCGAGCCCGCCGCCGTCATCTCCGCATTCAACAGCCAGCTCCCCGGCACGCAGTCCATCGCCACGACGCTCTTCGGGGCCTCGCCTGAGCTGCCTGACGAAGTGCTCGCCAAGGCGTTCCAGATCCCCGACGAGGAGGTGGACAAGATCAAGGCCAAGTTCGCGCCCAAGAAGGGCTGAGTATAATGAAGATCCAGAGAAATTTTGTTTAATTTGGTCTCAGTGATTGATTGATGCTGCCATGGATTGGTTGGTTCGATTGTTGTTGTTGGTTTGTTTGTGATTATTCTGTCATGCAATCGTGTCAAATGGCTTCCGTTGTGATCGTCGGTTAAGTGCGTGTGGTGTGACCTGCAGAATGAGTCGGTAGGTGTCTCGATCGCTTGTAATAAGTTGCAGGTTTGGAGAACATTCTATCTGTTAATGCCCTATTATTAGCCCAATCATTTGTAAACCATTTGATATTTACTAAGTACTGCACTACCTTTTAAAAGTTGTTTACCGAGCTTACCAGGATCCGGTCATCGTTGTGCTTGATTCCACATTGTTGCATATGATCTGCATGCATGGTTTGGTGGTTGTCAGGGAGAGTATCTTATGATCTTATCTGCCACGCGCCCACGCCGGTAGTGGCATCTGAATTAACTAGTCTGAACTGAAGCATGAAGGATCTACCACAATTCGCCTGCACCGGCAAGGCGGCAAATATCTTTATCTTATATGCAAATCATTGTGGTCAAACTCTCCCAATCACATGGGAACTTGCTGTTAATAATGAAACCTTCACAAAACAAATTATACTAATTATTTAATAAAAAACTAGAAAAATGGCCTACGCAAATATAGCGTGACTAGCTAGATTTTTCTCATTATAACATTTTCTTGCTTTGAAGATATTTTTTTCCAAATAATCTTGTTTCTTTGTTTGATTAGATTGGCTCTCTCTCATTTCATCCCATTGTATTTATCAGCAGAAAATTTACATAACTATGGCCAATGAATTTCTTGGCTGAAAAAACTACCGTTGCTTTGCCATGAGCTTCATATGTTTATTAAAAAAATTGCCTTTACCAACTGTGTCATGGAATCTATTTTTGTTTTCAACTTGTATGGAAATCAAATTACTATTTGTTATTAACTAGTTTATTATTTTGATTTTTTTTAATTTACTATCTATTAATTGTATTAGTTATGGACTCTTTGTTTAATCTAAGCCATTAAATCCTCACAAAATCCAATGGTGTAGTATGTTGTTTTCTTTTTTTAATCTTGGAATTGTATTATGCATGGACTCTTTAATTTAATCGAAGTCGTTAAATCATTATAGAATCCAACGGTGTATTTTATTTTCTATTTTTTGAAATCTCGTAATTGTATTATACATGGACTCTTTGATTTAATCTAAGGCATCAGATCATTATAAAATTCAATGTTGTAGGTTCTTTTTCCAATTAATCTTATAATTGTAGTAGGAATGGATTTTTTTTGGTTTAATCTAAACCGTCCAACCATCATAAAATTCATTGGTGAGGGTTTTTCTTCACTTTCCGATTAATCTTATAGTTTCTAAGTCATCTTGGTGAATATGGTGGCTTGATTTATTGGCGAAATACTAAGATAACAGATTTGATTTGAAAAAAACAACAACAAAAGGTAGTCTGCTTTGTACTGGCCCAATCATCTGGGAGGTTTTGTTTAAACCGCATTAATAGTACTACAACAACTACCTTTATTTTAATAACAAAACAACTACCTTTATAATTTACCATCTTAGCATGGTTTTGTTATCGCTGTTCTTTAATTTGGATTATCACGCTGCAAGCTGCATATGATCTGCATGGTTTAGTAAATACTAATTTTGTTGTCGCCCGATGGCCCGAGTAGAGTACGTAGCATACTGTACACTACATATAGTAGTATCTTCTTATCTGGAGAACACCGTGGAGTGGCGCCTGAATTGAGCTGAAGCAGGAAGGATCACGATTCACGAGGCAAATCCTTATCTGCAGTCTGCAGCTAATGATTTGAGGTCAAACAGCTGGAACTGGTTGATTAATAGTGGAAATCTTCGTGAAATTGTGAACAACGACGCAGAGCTCTATGCATAACAGAGCATCCTGAACTCACCTAGGCTACGCGAAAATGATAGGATCACGGACAGAGTTCTACCAAGTCCAAGTGTAGGTTGGCAGCTCGTGACCGTGGAGAACATGAGATGAAACTCTCCCTTCCAAGGAACAACCACCGGTAGTCACCACTCACTAATCACAACTCACAAGATCATAATTCAGGCAGAGGAAGAATCATGTCACATCGCGTAGATTCATCGGTTGATTTAATTCAGCCATTGCCCTGTCTTCATGGATAATTAGCCAGCATCTGCATGTATACTACTGCATGATCGTGACCCATGAGCAATGATATGATTGATCCGTTAATAATCAGGCAAGCCACATGCAACGTGCATGATCACCCCTGCTGTCGTCGGCCAACCGTCGGCTCGCCGGCAGTTGCAAGCTTATAAGTACCACACAAGCAGAGAAAACAGTGTGCATCAGTCACAACAGGCCGCAAGTGATCTGGCTTGGCAGGCAGCATCCTAGTGAGAGACGATGGACCAGATGGCGATGCTGCTTTTGTTGCTGAGCTTGTGCGCCTCTCGTCTTGACGGCGCAGCGGCGCAGCAGTACTGGACGCCGGCCACCGCGACGTTCTACGGCGGGAGCGACGCGTCCGGCACCATGGGTAACACTGTCACCGACTTACCACCATTTTCTTGCCAACTCCGATCCACGCGTTCGTTCGTCGCACTGATGCGCGTGTACTTGTCGTGCGCAGTGCGCATGCAGGCGGGTCGTGCGGGTACGGCGACCTGTACAGCGCCGGGTACGGGACGCAGACGACGGCGCTGAGCACGGCGCTCTACGGCGACGGCGCCTCCTGCGGCGCTTGCTACCTCGTCACCTGCGACGCGTCGCGGACGCAGTACTGCAAGCCGGGGTCGCCGTCCGTCACCGTCAACTACGGCGACCCCAACGGGTGGTGCAACTCGCCGCGGCAGCACTTCGACATGTCGCAGCCGGCCTGGGAGACCATCGGCGTGTACCAGGCCGGCATCGTCCCCGTCAACTACCGGAGGGTCTCGTGACAGCGCTCCGGCGGGATCAGGTTCGGCATCAGCGGCCACGACTACTTCGAGCTCGTCACCATCACCAACGTCGGCGGCGCCGGCGCGGTGGCCGCGGCGTGGATCATGGGCACCGGCACGGACTGGCTGGCGATGAGCCGCAACTGGGGGGAGAACTGGCAGAGCGGGGCCTATCTCACCGGAAAGGCCCTGTCGTACAAGAAGCAGACGGACGACGGCAAGGTCGTCGTGGCGTATAACGTGGCGCCGGCGAACTGGCAGTTCGGCAGCACCTACCAGGCCTCGGTCAACTTCTACTAGAGTTGGCCCAGTTGGCCACGCCACTTCAGAAGTTCAGATTCAACTGAGTGGGCCATGTTAACTAACAGCCCATGAGTCGGAGAAAATCCTTACAGTGAACACGTGTATAATTTTTTTTATTTGATGATTTGATAATACAAAAACCTGATAAGCGCACTTAAGTATTCCTATAATGTCCATTTCCATGTTGAGTTTCTTGTACGAATTCCACCATACTTTTTTGTAGCAGAAAAAAATAGAAATTCCACCATAAGTGACTTTTGTATACTTTGTTATCCTGACCTGATGGGCTTTGTAAAGACTGCAATCTGATGCAGATCTAATTACGCTAATGCTCCCATGAGGCCGTCCTGAGGGACGGACGCGGCTTCCCCACTCGCTACCGCGTGACCGCTCGCTCCCATGTGCGTCCCTTACGAAAAAAATAATCTCTACTATGCTTCTTCTCCACCCGCTGCTCACCTACACCACTCATCTGCGTGCCGTGACCGCCTCGACCGCGCCGCCCACTTGCCGTGGCCGCGTTGCCCGCTCGCCGCGGCGGCCTTGACCGTGCTGCTCGCTCGCTGTGGCCACCTCCACCGAACTAGCGAGCCACCACGACGGATGCTCCAGTAAGCAGGCGACAGGAGGAGCTTCGTGTGACGCCGCCCCGCCGACGAGTTGCCCGCGCCACTGCCGCACCGGCGAGCTCCATGCATTGCTGTTGACCTCCGCGCCGATGTCGAGCTCCGCAACGACGAGCCTCCATTCGTCCAAACAGTAATGTGACATTACGTTGAAAGCGCGTGTTGCAAGCATATATTTAAAGTGTTTCACATGTTTTAGATGTATGTTGCAAGTGTTTCATATGGATGTTGTAAAAGTAGATTGGGATGTTGCACATATTGCAATGGCTATACACGTTTATTGCAAAATGTATGTTCCAAATGTTTCATCTGATTTTCAGATGTATGTTTACAAGTGTTTCATCTGGATGTTTTGTATGTTTCACACATATGTTGCAAGTGTTTTTATCTTGATGTTGCATATATTTTGCAATGACTTTTTAAGTGTTTACAGTGTTTTTGAAAGTGATTCAAATACATGTTTTAAGTGTTTCATCTATCCTTCAGACATATGTTGCAAATGTTTATGTTTGGACGTTTTAAAAGTAGATCAGATGTTGCACATGTTGCAATGGCGTCGGTGGCTGGCCACCACCTTCCCCTTGTTCGTGAGCTCCCTGCTCAACTCCATGGCCTGTCATGAGTCACAGCAGCTCCGACGCCTAGCCTCCTAGGACAACGCAGTCGAAGGGGATGGTGGCGTAGCCTCCCGAGACGACACAGTCGAGGGGGATGATGGAGGCGCAGGTGCGGGAAGTGAAGGAGGCGTAGGCGTCCGAATAGGAGGCACAGAGGGGGCGCGGGTTCTCATGAAATGGTGCAGCGGGCACCGGCGTCCGAACGTCCGGATGCTAGCCATACTGATCTAATTAGGCCAGTCTCAGTGGAGATTTTCATTTTGTTGTTTCCAAGAGTGTCATGTCATATATAATGAAATGAAACTTGGATGAAACACTCACTTTCAATGGAAAATTTCATTCCATAGTTTCATAGACATTTAATTCTATGACTCATAGGGAGTTGGTAACTGTGTCAAAAGAGTTTCATCCCCATGAAACCCAATTCTTATCTCTCTTTATTAAAATGTTGTCATGTCATCAAAAGTGCATATGTGGTAGGCTATTAAATATAAATGAAACTCTAATGAAACTCAGACTGGCCTTATTGTTAGCACCTCATCCGTCTCAAATTAATTAATACAATTTTATAAAGAAAGAAAAAAATGCCCTCTCCGTGTTCGGGGAACTATTCTTTTTAGTTGGGCCAATTGGCCGCGCTAGAATCCAGATTCAACTGAACGGGCCAAGTTAACTAACAGACTATGATTTCTCAAACAAATTCTCCTGTTGAATTTCTTCTTGGCAAAATTCGACAGTAAGCATCTTTTAAAGATCCTTAAAATTACTTGATAAACCAATAATTATGCCAAATGAGAAAAATGACTAGGGAGCTCTACTTTGCTTTTCTTCTAAAAGTTTTCAATAGTTATAGTTTCCTAAAACTGGAAGTCCATATGGGAGAAAGGGGGAAACCACGTGAAAACCGCAGCGGTGGGGGCCCCAAAGGAAAGCAAACATGTAATGCATTCAAATATTTGTGAGTTCAGGGGAGATTTATCAAGTGCTTCTCTTTAGGTAGAATTTTGAGTTGTCATTAGAGAACATGTATTGGCCTTTAACCCGAGATGTCTAGTTAGTTTTAAAGCTAACATGCAACATACTAATATAGGATGAAGACAAAATTTATATCAAAGTTGTAGACCTTTAAGCTACAACTTTATAGTTGATGGTTTTTTCATTTGAAATCATTTAGTGTCCAAGTAATATTACGTTTTAAGTTCTCAAAGCTTTGATTTTTTTTTAATTTTTCAAATGACCTCGGATGGAGATACTACCTAAACCAAATTATAGTACTCGATGAAATCTAAATTATTTCAATTCAACCTTTTCATTTGAAAATTATTTAAGATCTTAATATTCATTACAAGATTCATTAAAGTGAATATAAAAAAATAATCATTTACTTAGTCACATGTTACTTCGAGGTGTAGTGGTAGGTGCACTTCATGTAAAGCCTTGGTCATGAGTTTGATTTGATTCCCAGGAGCGAATGAAAAGGGTTTCGATCGAGGTTGTTTTTTTAAGGGAGAGGTTTTTACTTTTCTTCTGCTCTATATACCCTTGGAGTCAGTAAGGATGGCAGCAGGGCGGGTCTGGACCCGAAACCCGTGGGTTTCAGACCCGACGGGGGAAGGGGCGGGTCCAGTTTTCGCCCGGCGAGTTTACGGGTTCGGGGACCCAAAACGGGGTGGGGCAAGGGCGGGTTTTGAATCTCTCCCGCGGGTACCCGTCGGGGCGGGTCTGTGCCTCGTGGTGGCGGCAACGGCAGCCCAGGCGCCGGCCCCGGCCTCCCGGCGGCGGCGGCCTACTCTGTAATTGCTATGAATGTGTGATGTACCAAAAGGGGATTCGTGATAGAAATATTTCTTGATTTGTGTTCCTTGATGGACTTGATTTCTTTGATTTATCGATCTATTTCCCTCTTCATTTGTGATTGCTGAGTTCCAGCTTGACGCGCCAGCCACAAGTTCGCGGGTTTCGGGGACCGGACAGGTTCGGGTTCGGGGCGGATCTTTACCCGTTATAGGGATCGGGGCGGGTTTGGGTTTGGTTGTCGGGTCTCAGGTGTGGGTCCTCGGACACTCCACCCCCCGTTGCCATCCTTAGGAGTCAGCATATGTCCTGGCTGTAGGCGTGTGGCGGTCCTTATAATTTACTTAGCTGTCATCGACACTCTATCCTCGTGTTCCTTCCGTCCATCACAAATATTTCAATTTCAAGAAAGGGTCCTCGGACACTCCACCCGCCCCGTTGCCATCCTTAGGAGTCAGCATATGTCCTGGTTGTAGGCGTGTGGCGGTCCTTATAATTTACTTAGCTGTCATCGACACTCTATCCTCGTGTTCCTTCCGTCCATCACAAATATTTCAATTTCAAGAAAGTTTTTATGATTTTTTTGAGGGATTTTGTCCGGTAAAGAAATTCTCTGTTTTTTTGGTAGTGTAGTGGCTTTGACAGCCCGTTCTCAATCAGGCAATCATTATTCCTGCACATGCAGGCATATCTGTATACCTTGAGGGCCAAGTTAGCATCCGGACATATGAACACACGTGTGTGTCCGGACTCTCGGACGCCCACGCTTGCAGCTGTGCCAGCCCGCTCGCACCTAGTGTTGCGCCATACTCCCTCCGCTCGCACCTAGTGTTGCGCCATATCGCCTATTGCTGCCTTCTCTTCTGCACGTTCTATTGCTGCCTGCTCTGCTACTGCGCCATATCACTCACCTGTCTACACTCGCCTGCACGCGCATGCTGTCGTCTGCTCTGCTGCTGCGCCTGTCGTATTGCGGGGACCGCCCGCGCACACTGGGACCCCTGCGCCGGCTCCGTATCGTGCATAAGGGGATCGCCTACGTCTGCGCACGCAACAAAACACTTACATCATGAAAACATTTTCTACAACGTATGTATGAACAGATAAAACATTTATTCTCTACAAAAACAGATAAAATATTTAGAATATACACTTACAACATATGTGTATAGCCACTGCAACATATGCAACATCCAGATAAAACACTTGCAACATACATCTGAAGTAGATGAAATATTTGAATAGACCCTTGCAACATATGTATATAACCATTGCAATATATACAACGTCCAAATCTACTTTTGCAACATACATATAAAACGTTTGCAATATATCTCTTGTAACATGTGAAACACTTAACACATATGTTTACAATATACGCTTGCAGTGCAACAGGACGGACGACGCGACGAGAACTGGCGCTTTGGAGGCAGCCCTGAGACGGCCGCTGCAGGCAGGGTGCGCGACGGCCGGGGCGAATCCACGTGGACAGGAGCGAGCATCGCCGTGGACGGGCGCGGTGCGCGGAGCTGTACGCCCGCTTGGTAGCAATCCGTACATAAAAGGGATCGAGTAACCGGCAGAGGAAATCCCGTATTCGGATCCTGATCACTTCGTGTCGCGATATAATAGTGGTGAAGGAACGGCGGTGGAGAAGCTAGAGAGCGGCAGAAAAAGGCGGTGCAGCGCCCGGCGCCGCACGCCGTCGTTCCTGGAACCTGGATGAGATGATGACGACAGCTGCTGGAAGCCTGGAATGGAACCTGTACCATGCATACAGGTTAGTAGCCTCTAGCCTCTATGTTTGGTTAATTCGGGCTGTGTTTAGTTCCCAAAAGTTTTCAAAAAAATGCTACAGTAGTCATTACATTGAATTTCGCGATACGTGCATGGAGCATGAAATGTAGACAAAAAAAAAAAATTGTACAGTTTGGTTAGAAATCGCGAGACGAACGTTTTA